TTTCTTCTTTCCTTATAATCTTACTTGATATAATTAGATGTGTTAATTTATATAAGCACCAACAGAGAGAGGTGGATTTAGAAATGACAAAGCCCCACATGAGAAGTGTGCATGCACTGGTGCTTATATGCATATAGGTGCACACGTGCTTGAATGCAACCGAGGCCTTGAATATTTATATATTTGTGAGTGCAGGGTCGGCTGCCTCCAGTGGGATAGAGGTGTTGGCGGTGCAGAGCAGGAGGAGACGGGAGCAGTGAAGATAGAGGGGAAAGAGAGAGTCCCTCAGGCGTGTCCGGGCTCTGATGGCTCCCCTGACAACCTCCTCTGTAATGGTCTCCCTCTCTCTCTGAGTGCTGTGAAATTGCAGGCCGGCGCTCTACAGCTGAGGACTCAGAGGAGACAAACGGCCTTTTAATTCAGAGCGCAGAGAGGTGACGGAGAGGGAGGCCCTAAGGGAGGGCTACCAATCAGACATCCATCATGCTAACCTCTCCCTTGGGACCGGCCCTGCCAAAGAGGGGCCCTGGAGGTGGTCTTGAGCGTACATGTGTGCGTGTGCACGCGCCTCCGGGGTTGGGGTGACACCGCGTGCAGGGGGGGGAGGAAGGAGGAGAGGGGAGGAAGCGGTCTGCTCAGGTGTCTGGACTGTCAGGGTGGAGAGGAGTGGAGCAGGGAAGGTGGGGGGCGAATTTGGGTGTGGGGGCAGTTTTTTTTTTTTCTTTCCAGCCCTCCGTTCCCCCTCCATGCACCTTTTCAGATTTATATTTTCATCCAATGCTTCTTATTTCCCCTCCAAGGCTTCATTTCATCTCACCATGCACAGGGACAAACCACAAACTACTTGCTTGTTTTTAAAAATATTTGCAGAAATTCAATAATTGCAAACATTAACCTCCTCCCCCCACTCGCCATCCTCTGGTTGCATGTTCTGTAGGAACATGCACTAAAGGAAAAAACAAAACAAAACATGGGTTCAGGGTTTGTGGACATTACTCGAGTTGTTTAAATCACTACCTTTACTCCCTGTGCATTATAAATAAAAATACTGAGAGGGAGAGACATAGATGCGGAGCTGCAGAGATATTTCATGAAGACCTCTTAATAAAGAAAGGGGACTGATGCTCAAACCACTTCACATGTTGGTCCTTGAAAAATATGTGTTGTGCCGGGCTGTGGGTGCACATAAACAGCTGTGGTGCACTAACAAAGTTCCTATCCTCTGAAAACAAACTCACAAATAAATATATTTATCAAATGTTCATCAAAATTTCGAAATTATTCAGGTGTGATTTGGAATCCTTTATGAATCCTCTTCTGTAACTTTTTCTCGGCTTCTTTATTCGATGTGCTGAATGGCGACTATCCATCCTTCGGCACTACAACCTTCTCTAAAATGTTTTGTGCAGGCAAAAAGGCAAAAAAAAAAAAAAGAAGAAGAAGAAGAGGATTTTACCTCTAGGCTTTGAACGTGATAAAACTTCTAATAAATTCCAGCGTATATGTAGCTTTATTTATTTTTAATATGAAGATTTCTAATATTTTCTAGAGATATTTTACTGTAGTTTTTTAAAAAAAATGTTCATTAGTTAAATGATTTGCCTGCTGCTTGTATGATATAGTGAAAGAAGCATGAATCAAGAATCAATGAGAAGCATTGCATTGACATGAGCTGCAGTTTTCAATCTAGCAGTCCACCAAAGTGCACAATTAATCTATTGAATATGTAACATGCAGTCCATAGAAGAGACCGTGAGCTGTGTACTGTTAATGCATGTGATCATGTAATGTACAAGTGAAAAGAAGAAAACCTGTTGCTGTCCTTGGTGCTTCAGCCTTCAGCACCGCGGACAGCTCCCTCATTTCCCTCCACAGGTGAGTGTCTCGCTCTTTGGGTGGCGCTCGGTGTGCAGAACAAAGCAGAAAGCAAACAGGGCTTCTTTTTCTTTTTCTTTTTTTATGCCTCTGCACAATGCGATGTGGTTACATTAAAAACAAGAGGTGACTGGATGCGTTTGCCTCACATGCTCTTTTTCCCAGCGCCTGCCTCTCCTGAATCCAGCTCTTTTCTCTGCCTCTCCCTCATTTAACAGGCTAAAGGTCACCGTGTTTGGAGCTGGGATAATTGGGGAAACGCATTCAGCCTTGTCTCTATACAAAGACGTGAAATCGCCAGGTTAAACCACTACCTGTGGGATAAATCCACACTTTCAGGGGTGTGATTCTGATGGGAAAAACTTTAATTATAGCCCGTGTCACAGCTGGAAAGTGGAGAATTCCTCTAATGGTGCTGTACGTCGTCACTGCAACAGTTTAGGATGTCAGAAAACAGGAGGCGGGGAGGACAAAACAAACAACCAAAGAGAGTAAGACAGAAGGTGGCAACATGTACTGTAAAAAATGCTTTCTTGCATTTTTGAAAAACAATTTTCAGCTGTTTTACACATTTCTGTTTTGATAAATTACAGGTAATGTTTAGAAAAGAAACAGAACAAATCTATAAACAATGTTTACTTCAAAAAAAATTTATTGTTCTTTGCTAAATGGTATTTTGTTCTTTTAGATTTGCAAATAAAATTACATTTCTTTGGTTTTTGCTGCAATTAAATGTGTGATAAAAATAATTGTCTTTCATATATTTGCTGTGATTTGAGAAATGAACCATGTATATTTAGGGGTTTGAAAAAAAGTGCATCTTTTTTAAATTACTTTTTTGTATTAAATGTATCCTGTTTTATTTAAATACAGATTACAACTAATAAAATTACAGAACAAATGATTCATTTACATGTTGACCGTATAAACAACAGGCCCAAACTGGACATAAGGTCTACATCACAAATCTGTATTTTTACAAATAGACACTAAAAATGTCGTTACTTTTCATTTATCTGACATTATTTTGTTTATTTATTCATTTTATAGTTTTTAAACAGTAAAGCATTTTATATGTATTTTAAAAATGTTTCTTTTAGCTTTGCTGCCAGATGTTTAGAGGTTGTTTTTTTTTTTTTTTTACAGTATTGTTTTACAGTGTAAATGTACGGCAGTGGAATGGAGGCATAATTTGACCATCTCTCTCTCAAACTCTCATCTTTATATTTCACTTTTAAAGTTGTGTATAAAACCTAATCCAACACTGTCAGTACCTTTGACAAGAATTTTCACTTTATATATCATTTATTTATTTAGATCTTTTTTTTGTGCAGTGTGAGTTCACCAGTAGTTTAAAGATGTTAAGGTGCTGGTTCAGTGCCTGTTTCTTCTCTTATTTTATTTGTTTTTATTCTTTGGGGTCTCTTTAGGGTTAAACTTGTCTTTATGCACGGGTGTACATTTTATGTTGAGGGTGACACATTAAGCATCAAAATTTTGATTTCATACATTTTGTCTGTCCTGTAACAATTCTTTAAATGTTGTTTTATCTATCTATCTATCTATCTATCTATAGATAGATAGATAGATAGATAGATAGATAGATGTGTGTATGGTAAACATTTTAGTCAACTAAAAAATATATATTTTGTCATGTTACAACCTCATTGGATGTGCTTGTAGTTAATATGGAGGTGTTGTACTGTTTAAATCAATGATAATGGATTAACTTTACATTAAAAACATATTCTATTTTGATCAAGGGATTTTCCATAGATAGATAGATAGACAGATAGATAGATAGATAGATAGATAGATAGATAGATAGATAGATAGATGGATAGATAGATAATCTGTTGACACTAACGGGCCTGTTGTGTTTCTGTTTGTCTCTAAATGTTGTCTTGACTGACCTACAATGGTGTAAAAATGAGTCAAAATTCACACCTCACCTCATTCTCATGAATCAGCACTAAGAGAGAAGCTCAGGCGACCCTCATCCATCCACTAACGTGAATTAACGTATTGCATGTTTGCTTAACTGCAACTAACAAAACGAGGCTGTTGGTAAATATTGAAATTCCCTTCGATTGGTGGCCACTCTGTTAAAGCACCGGGTGACCAGGTTCTCCCTATTGATGAGCTGCAGCTAATCCATCGCATTTCCCTGTAAATAGCTTTGTGCATGAGAAAAGGCCGGCGGCCCCTCCTCTCCGGCCCGCTCAGCCTCACTGTGATGCAGGAGGTTTGTCACAAGGCCATTATAAGGCTGTGTAGCATTAGCCCTTGTTCGGCTACTCCCACTCCATACATACATCTTTTCACATTCATTTGTGTGGCAGCGCCGCGCCCGCTGCTGCTGCTGCTGCTGCTGCTGCTCAGGTCGCTCAGCTCATCTGTGTTTGTGGCTTTTAAATGTTGCAGAGGAGCTCTCGGTAACCTGCAGCTGGAAAGTCACTGATGTCTCCATGAAAGCGTCCACACGCTCGCTGGCCTCCAGAAACACCCGCATCCACGGCCCAGGTACATGTTCACGGCGTGCGCTTCAGGTCCGCTCGGAGGCTACAGCTATGAACGTGTAACCATAACAACTGCGCTCTGATTGGCTCTCCTGGCACGGGAATTAACAAGGGCGTCGTCCAATCTGAGCGCAGGATGCGCGTCGCGCTGGCAAAACCTCGTGATAACCCAGGCACAGTGATGTGAAAGTGGCGACGTGAGGTGAGCCCGAAGGAAATTACTGGACCCAAAACAAAGCATGAGCGAGGGATAAACTATCCGAAATAAACACGTTTGAATAATGATATTTTAACTGGTGAGAAAACATGTCCGGTTTGTCCATCACGCAGTCCATCAGCTGGCGCAGCTGAATTTTTTTCCTCCTCTCTTCTCTGGATTGTGGATTGTGACAAGTAGCAGGACAGCGAGCCAACAGGAGCAGGACTACTACACTTCGCGGGGTTTGTCACTCCGCCGCCTTTCAACGAGAGGTTCCTCCAGTTTTCGCCTGACAGCACACCTCCCCCGGAGCCAAGACGTTGTTCCGCGTAGACCCGGGGTGCCCCAGTCCGAGCAGCGCAGTCCGTGTGGGAAGGTCGGCACTCGGCGTCCTGCAGGCCGGCGACATGATGGTCCACTGTGCCGGGTGCGAACGGCCCATCCTGGACCGGTTCCTCCTCAACGTGCTGGACAGAGCCTGGCACGCCAAGTGCGTGCAGTGCTGCGACTGCAACTGCAACCTCACCGAGAAGTGCTTCTCCAGAGACGGAAAGCTCTATTGCAAAATGGACTTTTTCAGGTAACACAGAGTCTGGATGCAGAGTTCTTGAAAATTGCGCTCTTATTCCAGAGTTTACAAGAAAATGCGTCATGATGGCACAATTTAGGAGGAAGAAAACATTTCTTGGGATTAAATATTGACTTAAAGATAAAAAATAAATAAATCAAATAAAACTCTTCTGGCCCTCAGAAAAACACTCAAGCCTCAACTTAGATAGTGAGCGCGCAGGGGTCAGGTCATGCGTAAAACCGACTAAGCCAGTGTTTAGAACTTGTATGTGGATTAAATTTAAAAAAAACTTTTCATGTTGAATAAATGTAAATGGGAACTGCTGTCTAATTAAATTTACAAATCACAATCTGAATTATTTCTAGTTAAAGATAATGGTTTTACGCAGCGTGTGGCCTTTTTTTAAAAGGGCCTCTACAATAGAAAAAAAAGGACTTCTAACATTTAATTTCATTGTGTATCCACGTGTATTCTGTCCTGAGCATTTGTTAAAATCTATTCCCAGCTCCAGACAACTCTTTTTCAAACAGCCATTAGGCTATTAACCGCTTCACAATTCCCAAAAAGTGTTCCAGGTAATTGAGTGATAAGTGAAGCCCTTGTTTGTCCCGCCGCACTCTCTTAGCATCATTTTCATTTGTATGTGTCAGTTATTTTCTCCCAAATTGTCTAATGACATGTAAGACACATCAGCCTTTGTTGGGACGGGCTATTATTGGCCTCGCGCGGCCTTGGCCATCATATTACCGCAGGTCCCATCAAGCGGTGGATTTAAATGGCCAGCCATTAGCCAGGCGAAACAGTAATCACCCTAATGTGTCCATTTGTTGTGTAAGTAGAGTTGTGCCCTTTTCGCTGGGGGAGGCTTGGCCATGCATGAGAAAGGGAGGATAGTGAAGCGATACCATTGCAAATGGAGGGACAAGCCTACATTAGTGTTAAAACAATGCTGCACAAAAAAAGAGGGGCTCGCTCTCAGCCAGAGGCTCCAGCGAACCCCCCCATAGATAGCTCCATCCAGGTACAGTAGGCCTCCAACATTTGCTGCAGCTCTACACATCATTAAAATAACTGTAAATACCAATCAGATCCTCTGACTTTTTGTTGGAAGCAAAAATAAAAAACCAAAAAACAAAAACTCACCTCCTCCTTCACTCCCTCTCTCACTCACAGCGACTCATCCTGTCAGATAGGAGGAGGAATTCTGCTGAATTTATTTGGGCTATTTGTGTATCAAATTGATGAGTCTTCCCACCCAGTATTTAAGCGGGTGAATATGGATTAAGAGAAGATTTTCACGCTAAGATGCTCCCACTCTGCTTAATCCTATAATATATCCGTGGCTACAATGTGTTGATTGTCACTAATACGTTTTGCGTGGGGTTATTGTCAGAGCACCTCCATCAAAATTATCTATTTCCTTTTTTTTTTGTTTTTTTTTTTTCTTGTGTAATTTCAGTGTAGCACCGCCATCATTGATGCTCCCAGCCAGTTACATGGAGAAACACAGACGTGCTTTTTTTAGTTTTTGGTTTATTTCAAATTATTATTGCTTTTAATGTTTTACAATTTTCACTCAGACTTAATAAAACCTTTCTTTATGTTTATATAGAATTTTACTGAAATTATTTTAAATACGATTCTTTTTCCTGTTATTATTATTATTATATTAATAATGTTATTGGTAATGTTATTATTAATGTTATTATGTGTTGGTATATGGTTAGTTTGGAGTATTTTAGGTGCTGCGTAATTTGCTTGTTGTTAAGACTGGTCCGATTGAAAGTATCACTGCTTGAAATATTTATTTCTAACAAACTAGTGAGATAATAATAACGCCCTTTATCAACTTAACGTTGATTTATAGACATAAAAATCCGACATATTTAAGCAGTGTGGTTATTAACAGTTATTTAAAGGGTTTGCGTAATTTCTAACAGGCCCTTTGTCCACTGCTCCCACCACTTCACATGTGGGCCTAAACACAATGCAATCTGTCTGTTTATAACAACAACAAAAAATACGTGTATGAATCTCAATAATTTTTCTTTTCCATCCAGGCGGTTTGGCACAAAATGCGCGGGCTGCCTGCAGGGAATCTCACCAAACGACTTGGTCCGCAAAGCGCGCAGCAAAGTGTTCCATCTGAACTGCTTCACCTGCATGGTGTGTAACAAGCAGCTGTCCACGGGAGAGGAACTCTATGTGATAGACGAGAACAAGTTTGTGTGCAAAGAAGATTATTTGAGCTCCGGGGCCATCAAAGAAGTCAACTTGAACTCAGGTAAGCAAAGCGATCACAGGCCTGTCTGTGCGTATTTTTGTGCGTCCGTGCGTATTTTTTTTTTGTCTCCGTTAGAAAAAAGACGAAAAAGAAAAAGAAAAGCACCGTTTGTGAGCATTTTGTTTGCTTAATATCAATGACATGTGAGTGGTTTCATTAAAAAAAAAATCCTTATCTGATAAATAAAATGGCATTTAAATGGCCTTTAAGGGGACAAAAGGAAGACAACAGTGGAGGCTGTAAGATTTGGTTTTTGTTGATCATTCTCAGTTGTCCATGGAGAGCGTTTCACAACAACCTTGTGAGCTGAATAGTTTCAATATTTACCTCCACAGAACAATAGCTTTGTGTTATTGTGCGCCTGGGTCCACAGGGGATGAGCATGTTAGTCTGGCCGTGCGTGCTGCTCTTCTTCCCACCGTCTATTCATCCTTATAAAAAGCTCAGGAGGACAGCAGAGCCACTCCACACCCTGTTGTACTCAAGGTGTCACGCTCCCTTCTTTAATATGGACACATTTGGTTCTGACCTTCTATATTTATATGTTAATATTCATGTATATAATCGTTTCTGGAACCGAGTGAGGATTTTTGCCGTTAAAGATGTTTCCATTTGTGCATTTTAAAAATATCAATTGAGTGTATATTTTGCACATAACACACCCACAAAATATTTGTATTTTTAAAGACAGAAAGAAAGAATATAAAAATATTTGCTTGGAGAACAGGCGCAAAAATCTCCCCCAAGCGCTTTTTCCATTCCTGATTTTATGAATAATGGCAGATTTTGGATGCGTAATAGTGCGTGTTGCCGGTGCGCATCTCCACTCTTAATTAAAGCAGGACCCCCCCTCCCTGCTTGACATTTCGGATCGTGACCTTCCTCATGTTTGTTTTCCCTCCCGCTCCCCAGTGTCGTCGTGTACAGATAGGAGTTTATCGCCGGATCTGCAGGACCCAATACAGGACGACATAAAGGAGACGGACAATTCAACGTCCTCAGATAAGGAAACGAACAATATTGAGAACGAGGAGCAGAACTCGGGGGCCAAAAGGCGGGGGCCCCGGACCACCATCAAGGCCAAACAGCTGGAAACGTTAAAGGCGGCGTTTGTCGCCACGCCGAAACCGACCCGGCACATCCGAGAACAGCTGGCCCAGGAAACGGGACTAAACATGCGGGTGATCCAGGTAAGACGAGCCGCGCGTTGTTTCTGGTGCCAGTGATGCTGAAAGAGGGTCTTTGTGCGGGTGATGGGGGAGGATCCACCGAGACAAAGACAAATTAGAGACAAATGACGGATTATAAATCAGTGAAATTACCTTTTAATTTTACTGAAATGCAGGAACATTTAATTGAAGGCCTCATTATCTATTAGAGAAATGTCAAAACATGATGTGGACTATTAGCAGCATATAGATCAGGGCTGAAATTATTCTATCTGAGCTGTTATTTTTTGTTGTTGTTTTAAGATGATAAAAGACTAAAATGATAATAATTGCTTTTAAACAGGAGCCTGTGTGCATTTCATTATGTTTTTATCTTTAACAAATAAAGAAATTGTTAAATAGCAAAACATTCACAGGCAGTGTCTTGCTGAGGATGGGCATTTTATAATAAAATATATTATTACTTAAAAAATAAGCTTTAACTTTTTTTTTCATTGAGACACATTCTTTTACAATTTAATGCACCAATTTTAAAAATGATTCATTCGTCCCACATCACATTATTATTGTTAATATATATTTTCCAAAGCTGCTTTTCTATTTGCCTCCAAATTCAGTTGTACTCAAAGCATTCATATGGGCAGATATTTGAATTAGATCTGAATGTCACGTCTCCTAGTCCATTTTTTTGTGCTTGAAAATAATAAAATAATTGTATTTGTTTTACGCAGACAGCAATTTATTTTCATAATAATACATGTTTTACAGCTATTTAATTAGCAAAAGGTTCGCCTTGTTTCTCCTAAAGGTAGGAGGGTGTAAAAAAAAAAAGCCAACAGCACAGGTTTACCTAAAGAATAATTTTGCACATACAGCAGGTTACCTCAGTGATAATAAATGAATGGAATTTGTAAAAGGTTGCCAAAAATGAGAGGATTTAATAGAATTCTATTTTTTGCTTAAAGAACACCGTTTATTTTGTGCAGATAGATTTTCTATTTCAGCCACAATGCAACTTGCACAATCATGAAATAACCTTGTTTTTGCCGGTCGTAAGAGAAACCCCACATATAAGCCGAGGCGTGCACTGTTTTGTCTCTGTATCTCTGTCAGCCTTTTCATCCTCAAACACATATACACACACACACATACAAACACAAACACACACACACTTGCTCGGTGTCTGGGTGCAGACTGTGTCAGGATGATTAGCACCATCTCTGCCAACTGTGATGTGGCTTTTTGTGCACTCACTGTAATTATCGCTGATTTCACAGATTTACATACCACCCTCCCCTTTCCCACCTCTCCGCTCTTACTCACTTGCAGCCTGTTTTCCACTGGCTTCCACCGCTGCTTCATCTGGATCATACACTGTGTGCGTGTGCATCAATCATTCAATCAATCACTCAGCTAATCAATAACTCAGTCAGTCAGTCTGTCCATGATCTCCCCCTCCTCCTCCTCCTCCTCCTCCTTTCTCTCTCCCCTCCCCTCCCCATCCCTCCCTCTCTCTCTCGCCCATCCCCTCCACCCTTGTGTGTTGCTCGGAGCCAAAATGGAGGCTCTGTTTCGTCATCTTCCTCCTCGTTCAGTGTGTGTTAAATACCATTGCTCTCAACGCGGGGAGCCCTGTGAGCCACGCTGCTTCTCCAGCATGTGTATGTAATCCCTAAGCAACGCTCTCTCAAGGGAAGCGAGAGCATTTCCATAAAAATGTACCCTACAGTTAGACGATTGTTCTCAATAAGCAGGTGTTGCCTTTGCCGCTGGAGCACAGAGAGCAGAGCCTAAGTGGTTTTAGGTGTTTTTTTTCTTCTTCTTCTTCTTCTTTTTTTTTATTATTATTATGAGTGTGTGTGTGTGTTTGTTAATCTGTAGCACAGTGGGATTCTGCCTCTGGTGTAGCCTAGCTGGTGTGAACATACATCATTATGCAGCACTGATGCAAAGGCGAAACAAGATGTGTTATGTGCTTATAATGCAAAGACATTCTTCCATATGGTGTGTCGTTTTTTTTTTTCTTCTTCTTTGCAATTTCAAAATCTTCCTTTGTTCCACTTCAAAGAAAGTTTATTTAATCATTGCGATGCTCTGATTTACAGCTTCACTCGTTTATTTTAACTTTGCACCAAGGTGTGTTAAGAGTGTGCATTGGGTCCTTTGTGCTTTCCAGACATGCAGCACAAAAATTCCTCTGGATGTTTCCATTCATTATGTGGAAACACTGATTTGATCAGACCTTTGTATTCTGGCATCACACTGGAAAACATGACTTTCTCTGTCAAGTGTAACTGCATTTTTAAAAAAAAAATGGTTTTAAACATTTTATTTTAAATGCTGAGTTCCAAGAATTTAAACCTTAATTAAAATAAATGAGGAGAGGCCATAACTAATTGTGATGCAGTAAATAGAGTTTAAAATGGGTGCAGAGGTGTCAGAGAAATAGGATCATCATAGGCCAGAAGCAAGGACTTCTTGTTATTTGTTGGAAACAGTTTGCAGTTTTTGAATAAAAGCCCTTTCAAGGGGGAAAAAAAAACACAACACTTAATGGCAGCATTTTAAATCTGACGTAAATTGTGGTTTTTCAACACAAACTCTGTAACAGTGAGCACGAAATTAAACAGATCAGTGAAATGACCTAAAATGAGGAGTTGATTCATATTAATTTGTTTTAAATTCTGTCAGTTGAGCTTTGTGTGTGTGTGTGTTTGTGTGTGTGTGTGTGTGTGTGTGTGTTTTTGTATGTGTGTTTGTGTGTTTGTGTGGGAGCAGCCAGCTGAATCTTGTAGTGACTGTGATTAGAGTCGGAATCTTACAGCGACATGATTTGGCAAGACGTGGTGGAAGTCTGAGTGAGAGCAGCGATTGGTGGAACCGAAGACAAACGTAAACCTGATAACCGCGACCCTCGTCCCTCTGATTTTGCTTTCAGGTTTGGTTCCAGAACAGAAGATCCAAAGAACGACGAATGAAGCAGCTGAGCGCTCTGGGGGCCCGGCGGCACGCCTTCTTCAGGGGCCCGAGGAGGATGAGGCCCCTGGGAGGCAGGATTGAGGATCCAGACATTCTAGGACCTGGGGCCTACGGCTACTACGGAGGTAAGAAGTGAATGTTGTGATGGTATGAGCTTAGTGCACGCTGCTGCTGCTGCTGCTGTGTATTTAAATATACTGTATCACTGTTCCTGGGGGCGTCTCATGTGATATTAATGTGCAATATGGAGCAATGGTTTGTCCAGCAAACGTAACAGCAAACTGGGGTTTACTCTCAACTCAGAAACGTGACGTCCTGTAACTGAACTGCGACCGACCAAACTGACAGCTACAGTATGATATCAAACAGTTTTTCTGCTGTGTGCTACAGATGCAACCCTTGTGGAGTATATTTGAACATGTGGAACCAACCAGGCTGATTTCTTTAATCTATTCATCATTTGTTCAAAGCTGCAACATAGAATCAGCCTTTAATTTGACTGGAACCTTGGATGGTCAGTTTGCATGTTAGAGGAAACCAAGTAAGAAGCTTTTGTTAACCAACCTAAACACAACTTAGAGCTCGCAGAGGGGTGTGAATTAAATTTGTTTAACTGCCACATTTCTTAAACAGCGAGGGGACTGAAGGTTAGATAGGAACAAACTAGGGCTGCAGGATAGTGGGAAAAAACCTGAAACTGCAATATTTTAAGTTGTATTGTGATATATTTTGCAATATAAAAAAATAGAAATTTTGACTGGATGATTTAAATAACTCTATTTGGAAACAAACAATCATTCTGCAATGATTGGGCTGATTTTGTTGAGGAGTGAGTCTGAATCAAGAGTAAAAAATAAGACATTTCTCTATTGGTAAAGGCATCCAGACTAGTTATGTCATTCAGATCTGCCTGAGTTTTGTGGTGCTGATTTAAACAGTCAAATAAATGAGTTTTGTTTGTGTTCTGTTGGTGCGAGACGCTGCAGACAGAGCAGCAGTTTTTGCTCAACATCATCCTTTCTGTAGCTGAAATATTTCCAAACAACTCCAACCAAATCTTCCTTTTCCAGTGTATCCCTCCTGTCCCTCACTCATTTTGCTGTGCACACGTGGATCCTGCATGTAAACAAACTCTAAGTTCTGTGAATAAAGTAACAAAAGCAGCTGATGTTCTATCAGACAGACGTCTTGTGTAGATTAGTCCTACGAAAAGAGAACCAAGCAACTTTTCTTTTTGTATCAAGCAGCCAAAAAGCATGTTGTGCTTGAGCTCATTTCTCTTTCTTCACAAGGCGATACATGTCGACGCTCCAACGATATATCGCGCAGCTTTAATCAGACACCGAGCCAGCAGTGGAAGCGCAGCATGGGAGGCACACCTGAATCGTGCTTTTTAGCTCCAAAGACACAGTTTATATTCTACTTTTATATTCTGTTTTTAGAACTTCAAAAACAGCAATTGTAAAAACTAGTGAGATTTGAGTCCTGTGTCATTCTATGCCCCTCTCGTGTCTTTTAAGTTTTTTTAAAGACGAAGCTTGTGACTCTTTACGGAGTACATGGACATCTGAGCGTCATTCTCTTTCCTGAAAGTTGCACATTGTCATCCTTGAAAGCAGCTGCAGCATCTCCAACAAACTATGACGGTAAAACAAGACCGTTTTTTTTTTTTTTAAAGAAAAGATTCAAAGTAGTTTAAAAATGGCAATAAAACAAAAAACAAACAAACAAACAAAAAACAGCAGATACCTCAAGTTTGAAAAGATTCTGAAGAAGTTAACTCCATGTGACCACAGGCTGACATACAGCTTCACTGATGCTGCGGTCTAACCTTTACAGTTTGAACTATAAATATCTGGCAGCAGCACTTATAGCAGTAAGATTGTCGTGAAGTTACATCTTACAGCTGCTTTAGAGGTGGTGAAAATGCATAGACAAGTCTGTACATACAGCCACCGATCACACTACTGCAGGATGAGCATTTATGTGTTTGAAGAATGCTTAAAAAAAAAAAACATGAAAATTTAAGTTTTGACTTTAGCGAGCGTTACGGTTTTATACAGGAGATGTAAGTGTAGCTGTTTTGTTGTTCTCCAAGTGTGAAAATGAATATAGACGCAAGAGGAAAGATATTTTCTTTGCGCTGTTTTGTTTTCTAACCACGTGTGCCGCAGCTGAATCTCCAGTTGATGTAACGACACCTTCAAATCAATATCCTTTAAAAAAAAATAAATATAAAAAAAATGCTTGTAAAAGCCACTTGGGAAAATAAAATGGTTCTATTGTATGGAGAAAAAATAATTTTGAGACAATAGCAGGTGGGCAGGAGATAACAACACAGCGCTAACACAACATCAGCCGCACGCTGAACCGCAGGAATAAACCAGATGCACCTGTCACGCATATCAGCAGTTTGTTTTTGATGGACAGTCTGAGAGCCGCCGTTTCTATACAGCTCCTGCACATCTACCTGAAGGGCCCTGGCATTGAGGATACAATAAACTGGAGCCGTCAAGGCTGCAACGCAGGGAGTGGGAGGGGAAAACAGAGGACAAAACCTCCATCCCTCGCTCTCATCTCTCTCGCTTTCTTCGCACGTTGCTTTTCACACCCTTTTGTGCCGCAGCAGCACAGGCCAGCCTGCTCGCCTTTATCTGAGCTCGCTGCCTCCCTGTGTTCCTGCGCCGCTGTTTGGAGGCAGGAATGCCTGTGTGTGGTATGATGCGTCTGCATGTGTGAGTGTAATTATAGTTTGCAGAGCTAACACTCCCCTCAACACCCATCCTCGCCTCTCTCTCTCTCCCTCTCTCCCCCTCCCATCCAACTCTCACACACCAAAAGACGAGCTTGTTGCTTATTCTCAAGGTCGGCCGAGCTAGCAGGGGTCTGTTTGCGAGATCAAATAATTAGCTTGCTTGTGGAAGTCATGTCAGCTTTTATTGTTTCTCCTGATAATTTCCGAACTGCACATACCACGTAGGTAGTGCCATTAGGCGATGCGTTTCTTGGTTTCTAACCTGTGAGTTCCACATTCTCCCTGTTTACACTGAAACAGGAGTGAGGAGAACATATGGCGAGTGGAGAAATGCTAGTGCAACATCTGGGGGAAGCTGGGGTAAAGTGTGCCATCGATCTCAGCTCAAGGTGCTGCTGAAACAGAATGGATTTAATGTTACTGAGGGAATCTGGAGCAGGAATATAGAAGTGTTGGGAAGCAGAAGGCAGGTGGAGGTTTGTAGTCGTTAATGGATGCAAGCAGTTTGCAAAGTAACCGGCTACATGTGGAGAAGGAGAATCTTTTTTCTGCTGTTTTATGGTGAACAACTTATGAAATACAATTTCAGAGAATAGATGATCACATGAAAAAAAAAAACCTTCCATTTTAACTCTACACAAGTCTGACTGCGAGGGCGACACAGTGGAGCAGTGGTCGCCTCACAGCGTGAGGAGTCAGGGTTTGAATGTTTTCTCTGTAGATGTGCTGATTTTCTCTGCAATCAGCTGCTTCTTTAATCTGTTGGTTATTTTTACTGTCACAGAAGCAGAAAGAAGTCAGAAAATATTCAAATGTAGGATGCTGGAAACAGAGAATATGGACTTTTTTTTGTCTGATTGATGATTAGATTTAATTAATTAATTGATAAATCAATGCAGCTCTAGTTATCTCTGGCCTTCTCCCACAGTCCACAGACATCCATAACTGCTGATTCTAAATTGGCCGTGGGTGTGTCCCACCTGTCATCTAACGTCAGCCGAGATGAGCTGCAGCAGCAGTGACCCTCTACAGGATGAAGCGGTGTAGCTGACAGATGGATGGATGGACGCTGCTGATTGTCACTTGCTTTTAGACCGTGGCTGTTCTGAAAGAGTAATCGTCCAGTCCGACTGAATGTATAGCACAGCCCGGTTTTGAGCGATCAGCCCTCGGTTGAAGATAATTTCGCATTTTGAGAAAAGCTTGAGAAGATTTATACCGGTTATATAGTCGTCTGTTAAATACGAGGCAACGAGCTGCAGCTGGTTAGCTTACAGCTGAGCACGATGCTGGAGACGGGAGTAAGCTGTTGGTACGGCTCGGGCCTTGTCCACTTTAACCACACGCAAACAGTGATGTGGATCATTAAAGGTGAGAGTTTTTGCAGCTCTGGTTTATGTGTATCTGTGTGGACGTGTTTGGGAAAAGATGATGTCACACATTAATCAATCAGCACATGCCCACTGGGGCTGTGAGCACTGAGCATGTGCCTGAAACAACAACAATGGTGGATCTGTACCCGGTCATGTTTGTTTAGCAATTGCAAGTTTACAACCGCAGCACTTTGGTGAAACACTAAAGCTGCTGTTGTGGCCAGTATTACTTGGTCCACAGTATGTGCTGTGTAAAGTCTGCCTAATTTGTAATTAACAGTCTTCTGTAGTTTTTGATGTACCATTGATGTAAAATGACTACAAATGCTGTCTAGAGCATTTGTGATCATTTTTGCAAATGGACATATTTTGTAAATAACGATTGTCATGGGAACAGAATTATTGTTTTTTAATAAAGAGGGAAAATATTTGTCTAGAAACACATCTGTACTGTTGTGGACGAGGCCTTTATCTGTCTGCCAGTTAATTAATTACCATGCGGTATTGATTTTGGGTAACATACACTGTAAAAAGCTTTCTTGTAAATTAAAGTAAAGTACTGGCATTTATGCTGTTGAATACAGTAACTAGACTTTATGTTTGAGAACATTTATTTAAGCACTGTGAGAAAACTGTAGTCTATTAAATATATTTGAGAGACCGAGTAAAATAATTCAACATAATGATTAAAAAAACGAAAGAAAAAAAATGTTTAAAAAAAAAGAAAAGTCATTAACAATATTTGTAGCTTCCTACATCATGTCACCGCTCTGAATAGCGCTTGTGTGTTTGTTTAATTCACACTCAGTTTTCACAAGAATCTGTTCTTAACAGTCATTCTTGTTTTTGGCTCCACAAACATCAGATTTGACAGTTTTTAACCACATTTTGGAAGACCGGTACACTGCTGTTAGAATTTGGCTGTGTTTCTACAGTTATTTATTACAGCGAAAGCATAAACACACATTGTTTGCTGTGATAGGGAGGTAAATTTTGGACTATTTCTTGGCCAGATGCAGTGATTTTCTGGATTCTATGCTGGTTGCCTGGCAACCCCACAGTGTCAACATCACTATGAACAGATCAGAGAATCACAATATAATGTGACTTTATGAGCACTAAGGATGCTGATGGGTGGATCCTGTTATCCCTGGACAGCTGCTTCCTTGTTTCCAGTCTTTGTGCTAAGCTAGGCTAACTACCTCCTGGCTGTAGCATCATGATATGTATTGTGTGATTGGTTTTGGCAAGGAAATAAATAAGTGTATTTCTCCTAAAGGCATCAGTGCCACTCTAAAATACCAAATTTACATGTATTGCGGCTTCGAGAGCCTGTAAGAGATGTACAGCAGCTGGTCGCTTAATTGGTTTTGATGGATTCAGATGTACTCTGCTTGGAAACAATAAAGGCGAAATTCGCCCATAACACAAATACCTGTGGTATCTTTTGGCTTTATTAGTCCCGATTTTGAGATCATTTGTGTCTGGGATATCTGCCTCCACTCGACATTAAATGGAGCAAATTGAATTTCAATTTGGATGCTTACAGCAGTGAAGTTTCATTTTAGAAATTCAACAGCTATGTAACGAAATAAGAAATAACCCCTTTGAAAACTGGTCACAGTGAGGTCCATTAATTATCCAAACAACAGGGACGCTGCCTGTGGAGATACATCTAAATCTTTTCCAACAGACTCCCACTACAGCGGTGCAAATGAGAATATACACTTCTGTACCTGCAGACGTCAAACGTGAGCCGGAGCTGTGCTGAATCCTCTCTGAGGCATAAACATGCCACTCAGTGTCGTACGTTAGCTCGAAAATGTTTGTTAATCCAAGTGTGCATTGGAGATTTACTGTGAAACCAACAAACTTGAGACCGGATTCTGTTATTAATGTGTCAGTCTCTTGCTGCAGCACTTTGAAATGAAAGCCAAGAGAACGCTGAGGAAATTTAGGCAAAAAAAAAAGGAGCACAGACAAATTTTGCTCAAATACAGCTGTGGTGAAGAGTTTTACATGTGAACAAATCACAACAGTATATTTAGCCACTAGATTTAATAGATAGTTGTTCAGTCTGTCCAATAGTTTGAGCCTGACTGATCTGTTAAACATTTGTTACATGTTGAGTTACATTTTGTACAGCCTTCCTCTCCAGAAGATTAACTCTGGCGAGCCCCTGTATCGGCACAATGACGGTTGCCGTGTGTGGTTTGTGGTAAACCTGATTTACGGACCATAGAAGTAATTTTCTCAGATGTGCTAAACTTCAACATAGAGCTCCTTAATGATTTGCTCACATATAAGTGGACCTAATGTGTTTTGACATGCCCAGTCCTTGTCTTGTGACGCTGCACAACTGATGTCACTGTAAAGATGAAAACAGCGTGGGGCAAACCTGTCACTGCCATCGCTGACATGACATATGTGCAAGTTGTACTGATGGGGACAACATAATTGTGGATGGAAACGCAGCAGCGGCAACATGATGTCAAGACGAAACCGTGAATTAAAGAGGAGTCACTGCAATGCTGGAAGCACAACGAGGTTACCGAAGCTGTGCAGGGAGGTGGAATTAGAAGTGAAGAAATAATCCAAACAGTTAATAAATTAGTCATCGAAGGGCAAATATCTCACCGTTCTCGTGCTCCAGCCGCTAAAATCTGAGTATTTTTTGCTTTTTCTTGGTTTATTGTACTGTGATTTGAATGTGTTGGTGTTTTGGACTCTTGCTTAGGCAAAATAAGCAAGAAAAAAAAGTCAAATTCTTGAACTGTTTTCTGACATTTCATAGACCAGCTGATTAACCCTCTGAACCCTGTTTTCCACTGCGATATGAAGTCCTGCACCTCTATGGGAACAGCACAGCCATGACTAGAAGTAAAGAGAACCCAGTACGACACAGTTATAGTGCCATAAAACATAAAAACGAAAAAAAAAAAGTTAATTTATTTTACAAAAAAACCCCAAAAAACCTGGAAGCAACATGTTCTACATTTTTCCAAGTTCCCACAGCTGTTACCAATGATCCAAGGAGGTGACCCTACATACATAATGGTGACTCCACATGTGTCTCCTATCTGCTCTGTGTCCACACAGCCTGCAGTTCAGCTGAAAAGTCCCTCAATTTTTGTCTGCCAGTTGCAATTAAGTCACTCATGGCTTCACAGTTGTGCTGAAAATCAAACAATTGTGAGATTTTTAGCAAATCTGGTTAGAAAAAAAAAGATTTATTTTGAGGTCGTTTTTAAATAGGACAGTTGGAATAAAGTAATTTTGATGAAATATAATGATTTTAAGCTGACATTTGGTCAAGTATTCCAACGGAAGCGCAGGTCACTGACGAGAGGTTCAAGGACCGTCTGAAAGTTAAAGACCCAACTATTCCCTTTGTTTTGTATCGTCGGTTTATAGCTGTGATAAATGGTGCAGATGTGACCATATTTTAAAGATAAGACACCTTTCAAACCCGCTGGCAGGTTCTGAGGGTTAATAAGAAATATAATCATCACGTTAATCTTTACTAAAAAAAGATGTCTGTCTTCTGAATTGAACGTTCAAAATAAAGCAGAGAAATCTGTGTAGCTCAGGAAATAACTACAGCCCAGCGAGGGACTGGGTGCTGGAAGCTGCATCAGACCTGACAGAGAGATGCAGCTGACAGGACCTGGCAGGGCTGCAGGGGAGGCTGGAATCTCATTTTGGAATTCCTCATCCAAATCCAGAAGTTTCAGCAGGGGAATCCATCGAGGTGCACGCATGGCTGCGAGCTGAATGAGAGAGGGAGATGAATGTAGTGTGTAAAAGGCGAGAGAACTGAGGTGGAGAGGTGTGGAGTTGTTTATACACTCAAATGAGGCTGTTGGAGACCGGTTGGTTGGAAATTGGACATGATCAATTTCACCACTTAGGTAGGGGTGGAGCTGTGTGTATAACTGCATACTGCTCTGGGGAGCTGTGGATGTTTTATCCAAGTCTTTGATCGGAAGTCTAACCCCGTGTGTCCTCCTGTCCCTCCACAGAATACCAAGGTGACTATTACGGACCAGGGAGTAACTACGACTTCTTCCCCCACGGCCCTCCGTCCTCACAGGCTCAGTCTCCAGCCGAGTCCCCCTACATTCTGGGCTCTGGACCCGGAGCCATGGAAGGATCGGGCCACCACCCTTCAGAAGACCAAAGGTTCACGGACATGATCTCCCATGCGGAGACCCCCAGTCCAGAGCCGGGCTTACCGAGCTCTCTGCAGCCCGTCCCGGGGGAGGCATATGGGGGCGGACCCAGTCCTCCTTTCTCCTTGGCCAGTAACTCCAGCTACAGTGCTCCAATGTCCCACCAAGGCCAGGAGATGGGCGAAACCACAGCCTGGTAAAAGGACAAGAAGATACAGGGACCATTCCTGGGCTGAGTGTCGGCCTAGTTAATTCAGGAGACGAAAAATAAAAACAAAAACAAAAAACATGAAAAAAAGAGACATTGTGGGGTGAAAAGTACAGCTGAAATTTCTACAGAGGACTTTTTAAAATCATGAACTGATTTTCACAGTTGACAAACTGAATCAAGAGTGGGATAGCTTGCAGGAAAAAGTAATACTTGCTGCCCAGTAGACACTCCAAAGCATATCCCTTCCTGGATAACTGGACTTGAAATACTAAAAAAATAAATTTAAAAAATGTGCGATTCCATCCAGCAAAAATGCTTCTCACTTTCCCCTTGTTGTTAACTAAGGTATCTCCTAATGAACACATTAGAGAGAAACGCCAAAGGGGACATGGTTAGTTTTCTTAATTTCTCACCACATTTTATTTTTTTTGAACACATTGCTTCTAAGCAACATTACGTTCCTCATTCTGATGCTAAGTTGCCACTTTACACTTAGTTTTACGAAGACAAAGGTCCTGATACATGCTTTAATGTTCACACACAAACACTTCATATGTTTTGTCGAACACGTTGCTCACTTTAAACTCGTGTGAGACGTCAAATCGAAGGCTGCTTGATAGACACACACACACACACGGAGACACACACACACCTCCAGCACGACTTGCTCTTGCACACACCTCGGCTGTAAGTCCCTTAATGCGCAAAAAGTGTTCTTGATCATAGCTTAAAAGGAGGATGTCTATACCATTATTCAAAACACGGACACAATTATACAGACACTTGTACTCGTGCACACACACACACACACACACACACAAATCTCACACCCATCCAGGCGGCCCTGATAGTTCTGCTCCGCACACTGCTTCACCTGACCTTCCTTTTGTTACTGTCCCTTTTAAAAAACATGTTTTAATGGAAATGATTTTCAAAAGAACATTGAACCCATAATGGAGAATGTCCTTCAACAGCTGAGGTCTCCTTCCTCTAAAGAGAGAAAACAAAAGAGGGGGCAGACAACATCTGTGACATTACCACTGTCTGCTCTGAAGCACTCGTTGCCATCTAGTGGCCATCGGCCTCACAGAATTTAAACAGATCAGCTCCGAGCGGCACAGTCCGGCTGCGGATGGGAACATCTTTGTACTTCAGAGGACAAATTCTAAAAATTTCAAACCTTTTTTTTTTTATAGTGCAGATTAGGGCCAGATGTCATCACGGCTACTGTCAGTATTTGTTGCAACATATTAAAGGAAAGCAAACAAATTTCATCCCATGTTTTCTCCTTCCAGCTCAGTCTTTAAGCGCATCATACGTCACACATCTTGTAATGCCGTCTGTCCACACCGAGTTAGCTGAAATATTGTTTTGAGATCATTTGTGTTTCCTTTGAACATTGTATAAGATCTAGAAAGAATGTGTCTTATTTCTGATGTACGGAGATATTCTTGGATACAAGCGTGAGTGTGTGGGTGCCTGAATGTGGATGCGTGCGGGTGTGCTTGCTCATGTATGTGGGGAAAGGGGCGAGGCTGTATTATTTCTATGTAAATAGCACTGGTAATAAAACCTTCTCTTACAACTTGAAGATGTGGCTTTCTTGTTTCGTACTATCACATTGTCTGTTTCCTTCAGTTTGCAGTTGTGGAAAGTAGCTCAATACAGTAAGATTTTAAGGTAGTTGTTAGTTCCACGTCATATTCCTGATCCACCTCCTTTCAGAGGGAATACCGCACACTTAACTCCACTATGCCTATTTCACATTTACTTTGCTCATTAGGATTTTAGAAAGACACATAATAAGCTTGTAAAATATGATGCATTGCTATAAAACTAACAGCCCAACAGTATGTGAAGTAGTTTAAATTAGCTCCATTCCAACCAGCTAAACCCCATAAATGCTGCACTCTGAAAGGGTAATGAGTTGTAACAACGGTTCTGACTTTATTGACATTAGAAAAAATAATTTAGTGTGGATTTATGGATTAATTATAACTTTTGGGTTGCCAGATTTTACAAAATACCTTTCAGTAGCACCTACTTCTTTGTAAAACTCCACTTTTATGCTACTTATTTTACAGATAAAACTGCATTGAATCTGCATTCACATATTTGTGGGCCACAATGTGCTGCAAACACAAATTTAACTTATTATTAGCGTAGAGAACTGTGATGATGGATATTCTTGCAAATAGCTGCTTTATTCCATCATCAGCATTCACTTGGACCCACTCTTCATTTGGTTCTGTTTCTCTCCAGTCCTGATAGAAATCTCTGGTACTTAAGCTGCTACATGCAGCTACAAACAGCAAGTTGCTAACTTTGTCAATCTGCTGTTTGTTGTGGAAATAGTGTCTAGTAGGTTTATATGAGTTTTGCATTAAAATCAGCTGCTGGAAAATACAGTGACGAGAGCAGTGAGACTGACGTAAAAATCTCTTACAGGTCTGAAAAGATCTGGATGATAATCCTCAGTCATTTTTTGTGCAATTTGAAGTAGAACATTAGAAAAACCAAATGGAAACAGCAAAATTAGAAACAATATTTTGTGGAAAGTTTTCATGTACGATTGAAATGCTTTGTTTTTTCTTTTACTTTTCAGGAAAGAGTCTGATGTCACGCACAGTTAACTCACATGACTGATAAGCTGTTTCATTCATTTTCTTCGCCTTCGGTCAGAATCAAACCTGTCCAATACCAGCTGACGTGGAAGAATACTTACTGTTTTAACGATCGACAACAATTCCTGCAGATCTTGCTCCATTTTTGTCTCGTAGATGCCAAAATTGTGTTTGTTTCTTTATCTTAAAGGTTTTTCAGCAATTGACAAACAACTGTGCTGGAGCAAAATTCCATACCAACGTGACATTTATTATGCCAAAATGGCATGTAAGATTTTTTTTAGTATTTCCGAAACCTTAGCATGAACCCAAAAGAATGCAAAAAGCATGCAGTTTCCAGGGAATATTACAGTATACAAGTACTATTCTGGCTTAAATATTCTACAAAGCAATGCAGCAGTGATACACATAATAAACGAAAGTGGACAGCAACTAAGACAGCTCTGCTCTAATGTGTCTTCTTTTTCAATTTAAGTCTAACGTTTCGTTTTCGACTAAGATGGAAACGGTATGTGAGGAATGCAAAATTTGGTCTGATATGAGGCAAGTAGATGCCGGTGGAAAAGGGACTGAGCACAATGAGCTTGTGGGTTTTCAGGAAAAGCAGCATTATTACGCCGAGCAGAGCGTATGAAAAGTTATACACACTGTTTTTATTCACACAAAAGTATATTTAACAATACTGAATATTCTGTCTAGGATGGAATTTCAAACACAGCCTTGATTTTATCTCTGTTTTTTTCGACTCTCTAGTTTACTCCCACCAAAGCCAAATTCACTTTTTTTCTCCCCTAAAAGCACTCTTCAAATTTGCTTGACAGTTTTATGGAAACATTGGTGCTGAAAGGACACTGAAGAGATGTGAGACTGAACCAGAACCTTCTGTAGATCTGAAAAGAAGCTGCAGACTTAAGCGATGTTGGGATTATCAGTCCCAGTAAGAAGCACGACTCTCTGGATTGAAAGCGATCCCTGAAGACTTGTTTCCACTTTTCTTTCGTAGATGGACAAAGTTTTGTTCTTTAATATGTTTCTAGCAGTTGCCCTGCACCTGCTCCATGTTCCATATTGCATACTTTTCTTCTTTTCTTGCAGTATGTACTGCAGTCGCATTTACTATGGAATTATATTTGTGCCACAATCTTGAGCAAACGAAAATCAATTCTGCGATCAAAACTATTACTGCTATGTTTGCAACTATCAACATACATGCATGATCATGCTGTCTTTCACTCGGTTTTGTCATTTATGCTCTCACAGATCTCCATTCTGTGCGCTCAGCTACACATTCACGCTCGCTTGCGTACAACACTAATGATGTGTTCAAGCTCAACTCTGCCTGCATGTTTGTTCAACTTGGCACAGCGTTACGAATGTGCCACAAAACCAGCCAATCACAACCTTGCACTGGGTACTTGACCCTGTCCAATCAGGTGGCTTTTTCGGCCATGCTGTAAAGAGTGACAACAAAATAAACTGGAGTGGTGCAATTAATGGTGCTACAATACCTTTGGGTGAGAATTTAATTTTTTTTATTATTGTATTATATATAATAAGGACTATTTCTTCATTCTTGTTTAAGTGCTCAGGCTAGCCAAGCTGAACAATGTCATTAGAACCTGAACAATAACATGAAAATGGTGCAGCACGGCACAGTAGTTGGTATCACTGAAATATTTTTACTTCAAATTAAATCGACTTTATTGTCATTTTGCTGTACATACAACAGCAATACAAACTAGACGAGAGATCGTTTCCTCAGGATTCAATAACTAAAAGCAATTAAATAAAGAAGTGTTTGCATATCTGGATCAGCAGTTCAACATTCTGACAGCTTGTGGAATGAAGCTGTTGAAGCTGCTGATCATTCTGGAGGTTCTTCCTTTAATGTTCCAGAAACGTTTCCCTGATGGCAGCAGTTCAAACAGTTTATGGAGAGGCTGTGAGGAGTCCCTGACAGTGTTCAGTGTCCTGCTCCTGCAGCAGCTCTGGGAAAGTTCAGAGCTAGCTGCCTGTCTGTCTGTCTGTCTGTCCACCTGGAACGATGTCGTCCTCTCCAGCTGTATGTCCATCTGGGATGTTGTCATGGAGCCATGCCTCCACAAAAGCAAACACACAGCAGTCCCTCCACTCTCTGCAGGTTTCTCCCAGCAAACGTAGCTCGTCCAGCTTGTTGTTGCGTGACGGTCCTGCTGCTCTGGAGGGGTTAGCCTTTAGCCTGGCATGGATCCCGGCTCTCTTCCTCCTCCTTTGTTTACGTTCGTACCGTTTGCGCTTCCTTCTCTCTCGGGAAACAGCCAGCGTAGTTAGCCAAGAGAGTAGGATGTCCAAAGCTGATATGATGTGAAATAAAAATATTTCAGTG